CCATTGTTCCGGGGGAGGGTCACAGCTCCTCCTTGTCCATGGTGCTGAAGAAGATGTGAGATCCTCAGTGTCCCTTATGGAACTGCGTCTCCCCATGGAATCCCAGCATTCCTTATGGAATGGCAGCATTCTCTATGGAATGACGGTGTTCCCTATGGAATGCCATTGTCCGGGGGGGGGGTGTCACAGCTCTTCCTGGTCCACAGTACCGGAGAAGAAGCGGGTGAAGCAGCAGAGATGCCGAGAGGCTGAGTGCAATTCCTGCTGCAGGCACCGGTTGTTGTGGCACAGGTTGGCCACTTCCACCTGGAGAACCACCTTGTCCTGCTTCTCCTGCAGGATACAGGCTCAGAGCCCCAAAACAGACCCAAAACAGCCCCAAAATTGCCCCCAAACCATCCCATAACCACCTTAACCTGCTTCTCCTATGGGATACAGAGTTAGAGCCCCAAAACATAAGAAAAAACAGGACAAAACCACCCCAAAACAGCCACAAAACACCCCAAAACCATCAGAAAGCCACCTTGTCCTGCTTCTCCTATGTGCTACAGGGTCAGAGCCCCAAAACAGCCCCAAAACAGGACAAAACCACACCAAAATACCCTCACAACACCACAAAAAACATCCAAAAACCACCTTGTTCTGCTTGTCCTATGAGATGCAGGGTCAGAGCCCCAAAACAGGACAAAAACAGCCCAAACCACCCAAAAACCACCTTGTCCTGCTTCTCCTAAGAGACAAAGGGTCACAGCCCCAAAACAGGACAAAACCACCCCAAAACACACAAAACCACACACAAAACACCCCAAACCACGCCAAAACCACTCGAAAACCACCTTGTCCTGGTTCTCCCGTGGGATACAGGGTCAGAGCCCCAAAAAAGACCCAAAAAAGCCCCGAAAACACCCCAAAAAAAGCCAAAAAAGACCCCAAAACCACCTTGACCTGCTTCTGCTGTGGGATACAGGGACAGAGCCCAAAACCAGCTCCAAAACAGGCCAAAATCACTCAACCCCCCCCAATACACGCTCAAAATAGACCCAAAAAACACCTTGTCCTGCTTCTCCTATGGGATACAGGGTCAGAGCCCCAAAACAGACCCCAAAACAGGCCAAAACCACCCAAAACACCCCCAAAACCACCTTGTCCTGCTTCTCCTATGAAATACAGGGTCAGAGCCCCAAAACAGACCCAAAACAGCCTCAAAACACCCCCAAAAACCATCCCAAAACCACCTTGTCCTGCTGCTGCTATGGGACACAGGGTCAGAACCCAAAAACAGCCCGAAAAAAGGACAAAAACAACCTAAAACACCCCAAAAACCAGCCCAAAACCACCATGACCTGCTTGTCCTGTGAAATACAGGGTCAAAGCCCAAAAAACAGACCCAAAACAGGACAAAAAACCACCAAAACACCCCAAACCCACCCCAAACCCAACTTGTCGTCCTTCTCCTATGGGATGCAGGGTCAGAGCCCCAAAACAGACCCAAAACAGGCCAAAACCAACCCAAAACACCCATAAACCCAGCCCAAAACCAACTTGTCCTACTTCTGCTATATGATACAGGGTCAGAGACCCAAAACAGCCCCAAACAGAACAAAAACAACCCAAAACACCCAAAAACCAGCCCCAAAACCCAAGCCAAAACCACCTTGTCCTGCTACTGCTATGGGATACAGGGTCAGAGCCCCAAAACAGACCCAAAACAGGACAAAAACAACCCAAAACACCCAAAACCACCCCAAAACCACCTTGTCCTGCTTCTCCTAAAGGATACAGGGTCAGAGCCCCCCAAAAGACCCAAAACAGGCCAAAACCAACCCAAATCACTCCAAAACTCAGCTCAAAACCACGTTGTCCTGCTTCTGCTATGGGACACATGGTCAAATCCCCAAAACAGCCCTAAAACAGGACAAAAACAACCTAAAACACCCCAAAAAACCACCCCAAACCCACCTTGTCCTGATTCTCCTATGGGATACAGGATCAGAGCCTCCAAACAGCCCCAAAACATGCCAAAAAAAGTCAACCCCCCCCCAAAACAGCCCCAAAACACCCCAAAACTAACTTGTCCTGCTTCTGCTATGGGATACAGGGTCAGAGCCCCCAAAAAGACCCAAAACAGGCGAAAAACAACCCAAAACACCCAAAAACCCAACCCAAAACCACCTTGTTCTGCTTCTCCTGTGGGATACAGGGTCAGAGCCCCAAAAGAGACACAAAACAGGACAAAAAAACACCAAAACACCCCAAACCCAGCCCAAAACCACCTTCTTCTGCTTCTGCTATGGGATACAGGGTCAGAGCTCCAAAACAGACCCAAAACACCCAAAACAACCCCCAAAACAGGCGAAAACCACCCCAAAACCACCTTGTCCTGCTTCTGCTACAGGATACAGGGTCAGAGCCCCCCAAAAGACCCAAAACAGGCCAAACCACCCCAAAACCACCTTGTCCAGCTTCTGCTATGGGATACAGGGTCAGAGCCCCAAAAAAGACCCAAAACAGGATAAAAACAAACCAAAACACCCAAAACAGGCCCAAAACCCAGCCCAAAACCACCCTGTCCTGTTTCTCCTATAGGATACAGGGTCAGACCCTAAAACACAACAAATACCACCCCAAAACTACCTTGTCCTGCTCCTCCTATGGCATACAGGGTTAGAGCCCAAAAACAGACCTAAAAACAGGCCAAAACCACCCCATAACCACCTTGTCCTGCTTCTCCTATGGGATACAGGGTCAGAGTCCCAAAACAGACCCAAAGCAGGACAAAAACACACCAAAACACCCAAAACCAGCCACAAAACATGCCCAAAACACTCCAAAACCCCCTTGTCCTGCTTGTCCTATTGGTTACAGGGTCTTTGCCCCAAAACAGCCCCCAAAAACAGGCGAAAATTACCCCAAAACCACCTTGTCCTACTTCTTCTCTTTGATACAGGGTCAGAGCCCCAAAACAGCCCCAAAACACCCCAAAACAGCCTTGTCCTGCTTTTCCTACGGGATACAGGGTCAAAGGCCCTAAACACCCCAAAAACAGGACAAAACTACCTCAAAACCACCCTGTCCTGCTTCTGCTATGGGATACAGGGTCAGAGCACAAAAACAGACCCAAAACAGGACAGAAACACTCCAAAACCCCCAAAACAGCCGCAAAACACCTCAAAAACACCTTGTCCTGCTTCTCCTGTGGGATACAGGGTCAGAACCCCGAAACAGCTGAAACAGGGCAAAAAGCAACCCAAAACCATTGCAAACCACCCCAAAACCACCCCAAAACCACCTCAAAATCACCTTCTCCTGCTTCTGCTGCGGGACACAGGGACGCAACCCCAAAACAGACCCAAAAAAATGCAAAACAGGACAAAACCACCCCAAAAGCACCTTGTCCTGCTTCTCCTGTGGGGTTCAGGGTCAGAGCCCGGAAACAGCCCCAAAACAGTACAAAAAAAGGCGAAAACCAGGCCAAAAAAACCCAAAGCAAACCACAAAACAGGCCAACCCCCCCCCCCCAAATCACCTTGTCCTGCTTCTCCTGCGGGATACAGGGGCAGAGCCCCAAAAAAGACATAAAACATGACAAAAATTGGACAAAACCACCCCAAAAGCATCTTGTCCTGCTTTTACACTGGGGTACACGGTCAGAGCCCCCAAACAGGACAAAAACAGGACAAAACCAGGCCAAACACCCAAAACAACCCCCAAAACAGGCGAAAACCACCCCAAAATCACCTTGTCCTGCTTCTCCTATGGGGCACAGGTCTGAGCCCCAAAACAGGACAAAACCAACCTAAAACCAGCCCAAAATCACCTTGATCTGCTTCTCCTATGGGATACAGGGTCAGAGCTCCAAAACAGACACAGAAGAAGACAGAAACACTCCAAAACCCCCAAAACAGCCCCACAACACCTGAAAACCTCCTTGTCCTGCTTCTCCTATGGGATACAGGGTCAGAGGCCCAAAACAGAACCAAAACAGGACAAAAACAACCCAAAACACCCCCAAAACACCCCAAAAACAACTTGTCCTGCTTCTCCTATGGAATACAGGGTCAGAGGCCCTAAACACCCCAAAAACAGGACAAAACTACCCCAAAACCACCTTGTCCTGCTTCTCCTATAGGATACAGTGTCAGAGCCCCAAAACAGACACAAAACAGGACAAAAACGACCCAAAACACCCCAAAAAACACTCCAAAACCACCTGGTCCTGCTTCTTCTAGGGGATACAGGGTCAGAGCCCCAAAACAGGACAAAACCACGCAAAAACCAGGACAAAACACTCAAAGTAAATGGCAAAACCGGCCAAAACCACCCCAAAAACGCCTTGTCCTTCTTCTCCTGTAGGATACAGGGGCAGAGCCCCAAAACAGACCCAAAACAGGACAAAAACAACCCAAAACACCCCAAAGACAGCCCAAATCCACACTCTCCTGCTTCTGCTTTGGGATACAGGGTCAGAGCCTCAAAACAGCCCCAAAACAGGACAAAAACACTCCAAAACCCCCCAAAAAGCCCCAAAACACCTCAAAACCACCTTCTTCTGCTTCTCCTATGGGATACAGGGTCAGAGCCCCAAAACAGACCCCAAAAAACACCAAAACAGGACAAAACCACCCCAAAACCACCTTGTCCTGCTTCTCCTGTGGGATACACAGTCCGAGCCCTGAAACAGACCCAAAACAGGCCACGTACAACCCAAATCACCCCAAAACCAGCTCCAAAACCCCCAAACCAACCCAAAACCACCTTGTCCTGCTTCTCCTAAGGAACACAGGGTCAGAACCCCAAAACAGTCCAAAACCAGGCCAAACCACTCCAAAAAAAACTTGTCCTGCTTCTCATATGAGACACAGGGTCAGAGCCTCAAAACAGACCGAAAAGAGGCCAGAAACACTCCAAAACACCCCAAAACCAGGACAAAACCACCTTGTCCTCCTTCTGCTATGGGATACAGTGTCAGAGCCCCAAAACAGACCCAAAACAGGCCACAAACAACCCAAAACACCCCAAAACCACCTTGTCCTGCTTCTACTCCGGGGTACACATTCACAGCCCCCAAACAGCCCCAAAACAGGACAAAATCAGGCCAAAACACCCAAAACAACCCCCAAAACCACCCCAAAATCACCTTGTCCTGCTTCTCCTATGGGACACAGGTCAGAGCCTCAAAACAGGACAAAACTAACCTAAAACCAGCCCAAAACCACCTTGTCCTGCTTCTGCTGTGGGATACAGGGTCAGAGCCCCAAAACAGACCCAAAACAACCCAAAAACCACCCCAAGCCCACCTTGTCCTGCTTCTCCTGTGGGATACAGGGTCAGAACTCCAAAACAGACCCAAAACAGGCCAAAAACAACCCAAAAACCACCCCAAGCCCACCTTGTCCTGCTTCTCCTGTGGGATACATGGTCAGAACCCCAAAACAGCAGCAAAACAGGATAAAAGCAACCCCAAACCGTTCAAAACAGACCCAAAACACCCTAAACCAGGTGTCTGCTTCTCCTTATCAATGGTTAGTGCCTTTCTTCTGCTTAGTAGGCATGACAGGTACAGACCATACTTTTGTTTTAGCAAGTGAATTCCTCTAACCTCGTTGTACAACCCCCCTGTACAACCCCCCTGTACATTGGTTAACCCTGTATCAGATGGATGGATGGATGGATGGTTGGGTGATGGATGAATGGATGGATGATGGATTAGTGATGGATGGATGATGGATGGATGGATGGATGGATGGATGGATGGATGGATGGATGGATGGATGGATGATGGATGAATGGATGGATGGATAGATGATGTATGTATGGAAGATGGATGATGGATGGAGGATGGATGGATGATGAATGATGAAACATGGATGATGGGTGGATGATGGATGGATGATGGATAACAGATGAATGGATGAATGAATACACATAGATTCCATAAGCCTCATCTCCTATTACTTTCCCATCTGTAATGCTGAAAGCCCATTGTGAAGAGCAGCACTGAACCATTGAAACCCTTGTAGGGTCCAAACACAAATCAGTCTATTACAAACAAATTCTTTAATCATGTCCAAGTTAATAGTTCAGAGTCCCAGGGCAGCTCCTCACAGCAATCAGTCAAACCATGGACAGTTCAGGCTCAGTCCAGTTCAGTCACTCACAAGGGGATGGGGTGGGATTGACATGGGATGGGAAGGGGTGGGATCGAATGGGATTAGGATGGGTTGAGGTGGGATGGAATGGAGTGGGCCTGGGTGGGGTGGGATGCAAAGATGAGATGAGATGAGATGCGATGTAATGGGATGCTTTGAGATGCAATGAGATGCCATGGGATGGCAAGAGATAGGGGATAGGAGATAGGAGATAAATAAGAGAGGAAGAGGAGAGGAGAGGAGAGGGGAGGGGAGGGGAGGGGAGGGGAGAAGAGAAGAGAAGAGAAGAGAAGAGAAGAGAAGAGAAGAGAAGAGAAGAGAAGAGAAGAGGATGAGGACGATGAAATGAAACTCAATGAAATTATATCAAATGGACATGAAATTAAATGAAATAAAGTGAAAAAACAAAATAAAATGAAATTATATGATAGGAAATGGTATATTTTTGGAGAGAAGAGGAGGAGAGAAAATGACAAGGAGGAGAAAAGAAACCAAATGCAATGAAATGGAAATGAAATTATATGATACGATATGATGCTATAACATGACGTAACATGATAAAACATAATATGGTATATACTATGATACAATATATGCTATGAGGGTGAAACGAATTTAAATGAAATGACATCAAATGGACATAAAATGGAAATGAAAATGGAAGGAAATAAAATATAATCAAATTCTATGGTATGGTATGATATGGTATGGTATGGTACGGCATGGTATGTATGATACGCTATGATAGAGAAGATATGCTATGATATGCTTTGATAAGGTATGATATGCTATGATATACTATTGTATGATATGTGATATGATGGTACGGTATACAACTGTATGACATGATCAAATATGATATGATAGATTATGATATGATAAAATACAGTATGATAAAATATTATATGATATGACATAATATTTTTGGAGAGGAGAGAAAATGGCGAGGATGAGATTAAATTAATTGCAATGTAATGGAAACAAAACGAAATGATATGATGATATGACGTAACGTGATATAACATGCTAAAACATATGATATGATACAAGATATGCTATGCTATGCTTTGACATGGTATGATATGCTATAATATGCTATATGATGAGGGGAGGACAGGAGAGGAGATGGCATGGGATTGGACGGGATGGAATGGGATGCGATGAGATTAGATGCAATGAGATGCGATGCCATGAGATACAATGAGATGCGATGAGATGCGATGCAATGAGATCAGAAGAGATCTGGGAAGACGCTGGCTCAGGCAGTTGGCTGTGTCCCATCTGCCTTGACAAACTGCCACCACAACCCGCAAGTGGCCCGTGCCCACTGCGCCCAGAGCCTGGGATGCAAAGCAGAGAATTACAAGGGTGTCCCAGTCACACGGGGAACCCCAAATGTGGTTTTACACAGGGTTCTCGCACCCTTCAAACAGTCATGTACCACACATTTGGACCAAGCACTAGCACCCTCACTACCAGTGACCAGTCCTAGTTCAACTCTGCCAGGCGCTCATGCTACTTCTGCTGCAGTCCTGCTCTTGTCTACTGATGCAGATGCCCCTGGAGCCAGTCCTGCAAGAGATACTGATGAATGGTGTGCAGGACAGTGGGAGGTTTCAAAGACATGCTGGAGGGGCTGGGATTCTGCCATTATTTCTGCTGTGCTGCAATACCCCTTCTCCTTCACAGACAGCTCTAAGATACCCTTAAGAAAAGTCCTAGCTCCAGGCCTGGGCTGAGGCTTCCAGGAAAAATCCACTACCTCATCACACCACAGTGTACATAGAAATATATGGAGACATATATAAATAAAAGACCTATTGATTAATACTTTAAAGACTGGTTGATCTAGTAGATAGGGGGAAGAGAATTTTCATAACATGCCTTGTGGGTCCCACCAACCAGGGTCCCAAACGCCAGTGACAGGGTGAGGAGAGGCAGCAAAGATGCCATCCCAGGGGGATCAGTCTCCTGAGAGCGGGCAGGAAAAAACAACCCAAAAGTGCCACAAGCCCCCTTCCCACTTCCACCACTGGGGAAGATTGGGAAACATGCACATCAGCATCCCAGGGCCAGCGGTGCCGGCCCCATCCCTTCCCCTTGCACATGAAATTCACCTCCCCCCAAACCACAGCCGGCACGGGAAAGCCTCGTTTAGGCCAGGAGATCACCAGCAGGGCAGGAAAGTACTGCGAGGGGCAGCTGCTGGGGCTGACAAAGCAAAGCCCCGCGAGGCTGCTGAAGCAGCCAGGACTCGTGGAACTGGGTCGGAACCCGAGGGAGGGGGCAGTTGGCCCCCGCCCAACCGGCACTGACCAACTGCCGGGGCAGGTACAGCAGCAGCTCCCGCTCCTCCTGGTGCTCCTGCCCTACAGGTAAACTCCAGCCGGCTCTGCCTGCCAAACTCTCACCCCAGCACCTCTCTGCTTCTCCCAACAGAGAGGCTCCCTCTCCAGCTGCCCACGGCATCGGAGGTACCCGGCGTGAGCTTCACTGCTCCGGCCATGCCGCCTCCTGTGCGTGCCTCTGTGCTGCCCTCTGTCCCGGGGCTGCCAGTCTCTGCTGAGCCTGCCCAAGTCCAGCAGCTCCCCAAGGAGCCAGCAGCAGCGGCGGCGGCGCTGGAGAACAGCGAGGACAATGTCCCTGATGTCTACGATTTGACTGACTTACTCAGTGCACTCCCTGACCCGACTGATAATGCGGCGGAGGGCGGCTGCTGCAAGGAGCCAGCAGCGGTGGCAGGGCTGGCAGACAATGGGGACATCGTCCCTGCGGTCTATGATTTGTCTGCCTTGTTCTATGCTCTCCCTGACCTGACTGAGAACGCTGTGGAGAGCAGCTGCCCCAAGGAGCCAGCGGCCATGGCAGGGCTGGGGAATAGTGAGAACAGCATCCTCAGCACCCATGAGAGGAGTGCCTTGCTCAGTGCTCTCCCTGATGTGCCTGAGAGAGTGGTGAAGGGTGGCAGCTCCAAAGAGCCAGCAGCCATGGCAGGGCTGGGGAACAATGCAGACACCATCCCCAACACCCACGATAGGAGTGCCTTGCCCAGTGCTCTCCCTGATGTTCCTGAAAATGTAGTGGAGAGCGGCTGCCACAAGGAACCAGTAGCAATGGCAGGGCTGCAGAACAATGAGGACACCGTCCCTAGGGTCTATGACTTGTCTGTCTTGCTCAGTGCTCTCCCTGACCTGACTGAGAACGCAGTGGAGGGCAGCTGCCGCAAGGAGCCAGCAGCTGTGTCAGGGCTGGGGAACCATGAGGACACCATCCCCAGCACCCATGGTATGAGTGCCTTGCTCAGTGCTCCCCTGATGTGCCTGAGAACGTGGTGGAAGGCGGCTGCCGCAAGGAGCCAGCAGCAGTGGCAGGGCTGGCAGACAATAGGGACACCATCCCTGGGGTCTATGATTTGTCTGCCTTGCTCAGTGCTCTCCCTGACCTGACTGAGAACACGGTGGAGAGCAGCTGCTGCAAGGAACCAGCAGCTGTGGCAGGCCTGGGGAATAGTCAGAACAGCATCCTCAGCACCCATAGGATGAACGCCTTGCTCAGTGCTCTCCCAGATGGGTCTGAGAAAGTGGTGAAGGGCAACAGCTCCAAGGGGCCAGCAGCCGTGGCAGGGATGGGGAACAAGGACACCATCCCCAACAGCCATGGTATGAGTGCCTTGCTCAGTGCTCCCCCTGATGTGTCAGAGAACATGGTGGAAGGTGGCTGCCCCAAGGAGCCAGCAGCGGTGGCAGGGCTGGCAGACAATAGGGACACCATCCCTGCTGTCTATGATTTATCTGCTTTGCTCAGTGCTCTCCCTGACCTGTCCAAGTCTGTGGTGGAGGGTGGCTGCCGCAGGCAGCCAGCACTGGTAGCGGGGAACAATGAGGAC